AATAACAAAAACAAAAAAAAAACAAATCAAAACAAAAATACAAAAATGTTTAGCTGTAAGAGGGTTAGGCCTACCCTAAAATTGAGGAACGCTCGACCTCGACACGTGATATCGAAATGGGCGAAATCGCCTCTTGATGTCACTAATTACCTTGAACCTTGAACCTTGTATCTCGCTCATCAAGAGAAAAGGGAAATCTCCCTTGTGTACTGCCCATTTAGGGAACGATGCCCCCAAAATCTAACAGCATACTAACATGCATGTCTCCGACGAGAAATTAGATCAGGAATGTCGCCGACTGGTCATCGCAGACATAAGGAAGGCTCTCTCAAGGCGGATCCTCCTCAAGAACCTCTCTGAGAATAGACTCACCCCCATGAATGATCCACCTCATTATCATTTATCTTTCCCTTGCAGGCAGAATAGGAATGTTTATGTGGTAGATCCAGATAAGGGGGGGGGGAGAAGGATGAAAGAAGATTTACACATCTTCTAACTTCAGATTTGAGCTCCTTGGCAATGGCCATATTTTTTCGGATCAGGGGGTGCAATAAAATTCGTCGCATTCCTGTGGAAGTGCAATTTCAATTGGGACTTGAATTGCACTTGAAACGTGAAATTCCTTTTCATTCGATTCCCACTTGTGATTGGAATCTTCCTAGAAATTATGTTGTGCTTAATGTTATTCGTATTCGTTTTCCTATTTTGGTTCTTCGAATGCAGCACTCTCGAATTTCTATGGGTCATTCCACGGCAAAAATTGACCAACGAATCAACATTACAAAACGAATTGGCGAATCAACGGTAGATGTCGTGATGGATATTGTGATGGTTTGGAATCCGGTATTGATAAAAGGTTCTAGCAGCATTCGCCGTGAAAACAAAGACAGTAGTGACAACAGAAAAGGCAATTTGTTGGACTCGTATTACAACATTGTATATAGCCCAGCATCTGCCTCAAATTCAAAACGGCAATACTGCATGACATTGCAGCCAAGGTAATGAACGGCCCAAATGATCCTCTCTCAGATCCACTCTTTGTGGCAACATCCACATTTGGCTCGTTCAAAATGGCTCGTCCATTCGTTTTGAAATGGAGATACATTTGTTCCTTCCAACATGGAGCATTCCGTTACATCTCCTAAGACAAAATAATAGTCTTATGTTTACAATTAAGTTTTTGCCTATTCTTTCCGTTGTCATTGTTATGAGTGTGTATAATATAAAAGTAGATGGGAACATTTTGACTATTTTAGTTTCTTCAGTTATCTGTAACCTGTCTGTCCTGAAGTAATTTCCTTGTTAACGAACTGTATTGGTTGATTTTAGAGTTTATATACTACATCACCTCACCTTTTACCTGAATGAAAAAGAAGTACTCTCCAAATCCAATTAAAAATTGATATCGCTCAACTATGTCGTGCTCTTTTTTTTAGCGTAGAGTATACTTATCTATATTCATAATTAATTTTTTTTTCTCACCTACAGTTCTGCATTGAGCAATGGCCGTCAGAGAAAATATGGATGATATACGTTATCTTCGCCCGCCTCATCATGAGCTATCCCTTCCCTATGGTTATGATGATCATTTTCCACTTATGGATCTGGCTCAAATTCCATCGCCAGGTCGTGGGCAAGCGGATCGACCCGAAAGAGCTAATCCACCTGAATAACTGGTGCGAGTGGGAGAAGATGATCCTGGTGATGGTCTGCGTCTTTCTAGTCTTCTGGGCTCCCTTAGTCATCGCATCTCTCATACTGAAATTGTCCTCTGATTTCTCCCATGGCGAGATCTACCCGGTCAACTACGTCCTATTGGTGACCTTTTGGCTGACTAACCTCACCTATTGCGTCTACCCCATCATTTACGTATTTTTCAAGCGAAACTTCCACGAAGGTTGCAATCATCCTCAGGACGAGCTTCTTACCGCTGAAAATGAACTGCGACAGATGGTCCCTCCTCCCACCCAACTCCCACCGTCGGTTCCGTTCCACAAAGAGGACCCATCGTAACACCAGCATCCACCACAGATCCCTGAAGTCGAAGCTACTGCCTCTCCCTCTCGAGCCACTGACTCACTTTTAACTGTCAAGTGCGACTGCTCTCCCGATAAGGTCTGGTACCTGAACGAGTTATCCTGTTTCCTCTAGGAACAGGCGTCAGCGTTTGTGGGTGAACAAGTTGGCTTCCAGGCAGTGGAGGCACAGCGACGATATTGCGAACAAGCATCCCTGACATCGGATTCTATGGGCAAAAATGACATTCGATTTGCAAAGAAGATTGCTCAATCCTGGGCCTGTTTCTCGCCTTTGCTGAAAGTAATGATCTAAATATAAATTTTATCTTGGCC